CCCATTAAAGGCACCGGCCCTCGGCGGCCGCCAATGAGGCTGCGGTGGGTGGGCGGCCCCCGTCCTCAGCCCCCAGTTACCCCCCGCATGGCCCCTCCGCAGACAATGGGAGGGTCCTGCGCCTCGCCACCGCCTCACTCCGGGCCTGGCAGCGTCCGCCCATTCGGCAGGTGCCCGCACGGGCTCGAGAGCATTCCCAGAGAGCATCCCGCCGACGGCGACCTCCGGGAGCATCCTCCTGCGAGCATCCTCCTGCGAGCATCCCCCGAGCACATCTCCTCCAGAGCATCCCGCCGAGAGCACCCCCCGCGGGCATCCACCCGACAGCGTTCCCTCCAGAGCGTCCCTCGAGTGCATCAGCGCCAGACATCTCCCCCAGAGCATCTCTCTGCAAGCTCCACTCCCATGCGGGTATGGGCTGGGTGCGGGGCACGGGCCTCAGCCCACTCCGGTCTCTGGGTCCAGGGAGTGGCTGTGCCAAGCAGCCGATTATCACAGCTGCAAGCGTGGGGAGGGTGACTTGAATGTAGCTGGATATTCTTTCCATTCAGCATCTTTCAGCGTTCCTTAAATGCAAAATATGACCAGGGACTGACCCATATGTGGCCACTGCAAACACCACACAGTCCACCTGTGCTATAGTGTTGCAGGTCAGAACACATGACCAACCTCACGGACCTTGGGTTATGTTTGTCTGGGTTTTTTATTTTATTCCAGGCAGTCCATCAATCAGTCTATGAATATTGACCCCATTGTTCACTCCAAGTAGCTCTTGGAATTAGACTGGATGGAGGGAAACTCAGATCTCARTACCAATCTGTGCTTTGAAGAACTGACCTGGAGCACTGCCTACAGTTCTGGGGGCCTCAGCACAAGAAGAATATGAACCTCTTGGAGTGGGTYCAGAAGAGGCCWCAAAAATAATCCGAAGGMTGGAGTCCCTCTGCTCTGGAGCCAGGCTGGGAGAGCTGGGGGTGTTCAGCCTGGAGAGGAGAAGGCTCTAGGGAGACCTTAGAGCTCCTTCCAGTGCCTAAAGAGAGCTGGAGAGGAGCTTTGGGCAACAGCCTGRACTGCYAGGACAAGGGGGAATGGCTTCCCATTGCCAAAGGACAGGGATGGATGGGATATTGGGAAGGGATTCTTCCCTGTGAGGTGGGGAGKTCCTGGCACAGGGTGCCCAGAGAAGCTGTGGTTGCCTCTAGATCCCTGKAAGTGTCCAAAGCCAGGCTGGACAGGGCTTGGAGCACCCTCTCTGTGGCAGGAGGTAGGAATGAAATGAGCTTTAAGATTTTTTCCAATCCAGACTGTTCTGTAATTCACCCTTAGGTGAGGTCAGAGACTTGGGACACTGGCTTTGCCAAAGGCTGTGCCCTGTGACAGCTGTGACATTTCTGCTCTGTAAATTCACAAAAGGACTCTAGTCACCACTGCTGCCAAGCGCCTTTCTCAAGTTTTAAGTACATACAAACACTCCATATGTTTTAGTAATTGAAATTTATGTAAATAGATAAAAATAAAAAGAGAATATTTACCACTTAATTATTCCCTGAGATTTCTGAGGGAAAGGAAGCTGACTGACAGACAACCATAATTAGTTCTTCTTTTAATTAAAAATTTTTTAGTTTAAATTTATTTTWAAAAAATCTTTAAAAATAAGAAACGAGGTAGTTACTGTCAATAGAGTCACTGATGTTTTATTTTTACAAATCACACAACTAATAATTTATCCTCATGAATGCATTTGATCTTTAAGTGGTTTGCTTTATGAAGTGTTCAAATATCAATGGTATTTCTAGGACTTGCAATTCTGGCATGAAATACAGATTTGTGTGATGTATAAAAACCCAAATTCCCGAACATTAGTCCTGTATGCTGAGCTCTGCACCTCTCTGCAGGTTGAGGTTTGGTACACAGAGAGCAGTCTGCAGTTACCAGGAAAAAAGCAAGGAAGGTGAAGAGGTCTGACACCTTCTCCTACTTATTACATAAATTGACCTAGAACTCTCTTCCCAGCAACAGAAATTCCCACCACCATGTAGAAAAAGGAGAAGATTCAGGCTAATGAGAGCGCTAAATGTAGCTGGCAGCATTTCACTCTGCAGGAGGACAGGAGAAAATGGGGAATATTCTGGAGCTGACCAAATACCAACCCCAAAATCCACAATCAAGAAAAATATGGGGAAAAAAAAAAGAGACTGGATTTCCCCATCTATGAGTCTTCTCAGAGGGGGATCCACACACTCTCAGGTATACTGAGCACCCCACCCCAGCCTCAGGAGGACACACGAGCACTGCCAAGCTGCACCAGCATCCCCTGACCCGTTCTGAGGGCTCCACAGATGAAACAAGACCTCTTCTCATAACTGGGGTTTTGTGCTGGCYGGTGCCAGAGGGTGCACAAAGCTCTTCTATTTGTCTACTGAAAACTTAATCGTGATCCACTATCAAGTACTCTGAGTCTGTTACATGGRTGATCTTTAATATTACTAAAATGGAAAGAAAAAGCTTCTTCCCACTTCTGCTGTTTGACCTTTTCCTTCTACCCTATGCTTGCTTCTCATCCCTGGCTGAGTGAGCTGGGAAGCAGCAGTGTGACAGCACGTGGCACCGCRGGGTCTCGGGGCCAGCACCACACTCTGGTAGTGCCAGGTTTGGAGAGTGGTGTGGCAGAGCGTGGGCAGCTCTGCCCACAGTCTGGTCCAGCACTCCAGGGCAGCTCATAAGGGCTGTCCCAGCAGAGGGATGCTCTCCAGTAGACACAGAACTTTTCCTCAGCCATCAGGAGCTGTCATTCCAGGCCTTTCCGAGTGCCAGTGCCCAGCATGAACACACAGCAGGGGAGAGACCCAGCGCCCTGTTCTCCCATGTTCGGTGCCTGAGCAGGCTGAAGCCAGCCCCTCATCCCATGCACACACCTGCTTGGTGAGGAATGTTCARTAAGCATATGGGGTGGACTGGAACRAAACCCAAAGTACAGAYTGACACACTCTTTGTTTCTACCATCCATGCAAAGCCTTCAGCCAAGGAGAGCAGCCCCCTACAAACTACGTTTCCATAAGGAAGAATGTCTTTCCTGTGCGGGTGACCTTCACACTTGGAACAGGCTGCACAAAGAGGGTGTGTCTCATTGTTGATAGTCCAGAACTGTCTGTGGAAACACTCCTGTGCCATCTGCTCTAGAATGATGCTGATTGAGCAGGAGAGGTTGCACCACATGACCCACTGTGATCCTCTCCAMCCTTACCCATCCTGTGATACTCTGTTTAATTGGGTTGCCTCTACTTTCCTCAGTTTACCCTGAATGCAAGCATGTTAGCCATTTTCAGCCTGTGCAAACCAGCAGACATACAGACACAAGGATGTTGTATTGCCAACACAGCATACCACATTGCTGTGCTTTATTACCAAAGGGCATGGAAAAAGATGAACAGTTGCAGTTTTCCTGATCATCAGAGCAAGCAGCCTCACCCTCAAGACCTGACTGATAGGCAGATGGCATTGGAAATTATAGCATGTTTCAACTAATAGGCAGTGAAGATGTTACCTCAGACAGTGACCTTAATCTAGACTTCACCTTGGAGAGCTGCTCTTCGCAGGTGTGAAAGCCAAGCTGTTCATCCCCTGGCTGAAGTTGTGTCTCCATGCAGGGGGCTGAGTAAGACACATCGCCCCAGAGCACAGATGGGTATTTCCATTTGACAAGCAGATTAACACAGGTCTGTGTGTGACTCCTCTCACTACTGGCAAGAACAGTCAGTCACTAACTGATAGAGCAGAGCAGGACAGCTTGTCCCAGTTAATAGCTAGTGTTAGTTTTAAAAGGGAGAAATATAATCWTTTTCTCCTAATAACAGCCATTATTCTCAGTTTGGAGTGAGGTAGTTCAGTCCAGTTCGACCAGCTTGACTTTCAGATTCTCAGATACTGAGAAAYTTTTTATTTGTTTAAAATAAATTATTTGCTGGGGACTGTGGAAACCTCTATACTGGCCTCCAGTTTTCTATTCACTTGTTTTTTTAATATAATTTACCATCTGACTGAAATCAGGGCMAATATGTATTGAGTGCTACTTTCAGTTGAACGCAGGGTGCACTCTTACATCTGCACATATGCTATGGGCCCTAATGCAGTGTTGTATAGTAATTGTGTTTTCTTTWAAAAAACTATACTTATCATTTAAAAACCCAGTTTCACATTATATTCTCCATTGGGTCGTTCTGTTCTATTTGTTTATAGAGACAACATAGGTACAATAGTTCAAATATCATGGAATCCTRGAATCCTAGAAGGATTCAAGGTCACCTCATTCCATCCTCTGCCATGGSCAGGGACAATTTCCACTGTCCCAGGTTGCTCCAAGCCYTGTCCAGCCTGGCCTTGGACACTGCCAGGGATCCAGGGGCAGCCACAGCTTCTCTGGGCACCCTGTGCCRGGGTCTTACCACCTTTATAGTAAAGAACTTCTTTTAAGTATCGGTTGATCTCAAGTTAGTGATAGGACTTAAYATTAAAGGTMTTTTCCAACCTTAATGAYTCTGATTCTATGATTCTAAGTCATCAAGTTCATATTAACCAATCACAAAGGTGTAAAAAGGCATCTCTGTGTGTCAAAATGATAGATGCTCTTGGT